CAATAAATTTATTGAAATTGTCTTTCTATGCCTAATATATTCAATTTTTGAATATATTAGTTTGACTTTAAGTTTTTGAATATATTATTTTGATCTCGAGTAAAGAGATCAAAATAATATATTTACCATCAAAATTGAAAGAAACAAAAAATTTAGATATTATGACTGTGACTAAATTATTGCAAACTGCAACCAAACATTTATTCAGAAATATGAATTATTCAGCAAAATACGAAGCTATTCAAATGGCGGCCAAATCAATCTAACTTTTTCTTAGAAAAGACAAAAAGTTGTTAAAATACATTTTGATGAACTATCGAGCGATCATAATTCTGGTAACAAAGATTGCATCTTTCGCACTAATGTTTTTATTTTTAATTTAGTAAAGTTAAACAGAATAAAGATTTGCAATTTTAGATATATTGTATTTTGCTAATTTTATTTCAGTTGTACAACAGTTTTTTCAAATAATATATTTAGATAAACATTTTTAATTTAAAAAATCTTAATATTTTGCAAGGGGCTAAAGTTTGAAGTTTCGCCACTGGTTCTTTATTTTTATAGACAGTTTGGTTGCTGTGTAATATGTATTTTAAAAATTTTGATATGATATTATAGTTTTAATCCTTTTATATATATTTATAATTCTGATGCCGACATACACTATTAGTACACTTTTTTTTTATCCATTTTTGGAATGTAAATGCATTTGATTAGATTGCTTTAACTATTTTTTCAGTATTATTCTTGCTATCAAATTTTTAATTTCCTCAAGCGATCAAAACAAATAAGGATCTGCTAACGCAAAGTTGAGGGGAGTAGAGAAAATAAGGCAAGACTTCTTAGCCAAGCTTCAATAATATTAGCTTGTTGAGTTCAGTAAAGTTCATAAAGCTTGTTGAGTTCAGCACAATAGGTTGCTGTTATAGTTGTGCGGAAACAATTCCTACAATGATTTGTGCGCATTCTACTACACAATGACATGTGCACATCCAAGTTCGGTTTCTAAGCAGCATAAAATAAGTGGCTTGACTGAATATAATAAAACAGACAGCCTAGTACATTATGTTTAACGTCGCTCATATACATATGTTGAACTTGTTTTACTTAATTTAACTAATTTTACTCTAGATAAAGCGACAACTGAGATACTCAAACTAGGTTCCAAGTTTGTGCAACTAAAGAAGAAAATACCTTATATGGACATTATAACTAATATTAAAACGTACGCATTACAACTTGAAAAAATGTATAGACAAACACAGAATCTATAAAACACTGTTTTAAAGTTTTAACAAATCGTTAAAATTAAGATTAAAAGATAATTTAACTAAATAACTACGTATTTCTAGATGAATTCAGTTATTAAGATTTATCCCTTTAATAAAAGCACAGATTTTGCATTACTATACCAAACGGATGCATCTCTTACACAAGAACATATTAAAAACAGCAGAGTTATTGAATATGAGCCAACACACTATACCAAACGGATGCATCTTTTAAACAAGAACATATTAAAAACAGCAGAATTATTGAATATGACCCAACACACACACTCACTACCAAATTTCAAAACAATTCTGTAAATTCAATCAGATTGTGTCTTATATAGAACATCCGAAATAATTAAGGCACACAAATCCAACAAAGATTACCCAACATGTCCTGTTGTATCAACAGTCAACATACTTCTTTATGGAACATCCGAATATTTTGTTAATACTATTCAATAAACACTAAATAAAAGCAAAAAAAGACTTATAAGTTACTTAATTACCTAAATTAAACGCTGCAGGCGTATTCTATAAGACCATCAACAGCTACCTGGGCTAACTCGTGCATGATTGCATAGGATATGATGGGCTGTGATAATTTTAGTGATAGCTAAACGAATTTTACATTGAAGCAGTTGACACGATTAGCAATGACAAGTTAGTTTTATGGTGAGTTTCATGAGTAAGTGGAGAAACATGCCAGATAACTATCTTGATGTTGTTCTTGATTTTGTAGTTTTGGATTAGGTTGCCGCGTAAATAATTATCAAGTAGTGAGTTGAGTCCAAGCTTGATAAATCTTGTCTCGTAATCAAAGCGCTTCATTTCGTTCGGTACTTTGGTAGTCTAATGCTGGATGCATTCTAAAGCATTCATGTATTTTTTAAGGTACAGGTACCAGGTAGTAACTGCGAACCCCGGATGTGGGCGTATATAGATAGTGTAAATCTTTTTCCATATTTTGATGTCTTGCTAATGAAGTTATGTTTTAATATTTCAAAGACATTATTGGACTTGGCAGTGGCAAGTTTGGCTTATTTATCATTCTTTAAGTTGATCGTAATTTGAATGTCTAGGTCTTTTTGGATATTGTTGACTAGAGTTTGTTCTGCTGACTTTGTTGTAAGAATCAACGTATGGCAAAACGTTGTATTTGTTGTTATGCATAAGCTTGCATTTATTCTAATCGAGTCTACAATGTTTTTCATTTTTCAAAGTTACAATGCTTTTTATGTCAGCTTAGTTACATATCAGCTAGGTTACAATGCTTTTCATATTAATGCTTTCACTACTAACGTTTTCGATTAAGTCGTTGATGAAGATTATGAACAGCGTAGAACCTAGCACTAAACCTTGCGGATCTTCACTTGTAAATTGGATGAGGTGTTACCGAGAAAAACGCGTGTGACCTATTTGAAAGAAAAAGTTTCATTAATTCAAGAACTTTATCTTTAATCCCGTTGGATTCAAGTTTTTGCAAGAGTCTTTAGTTTCAAAACTATGTCAAAACTTTTAAACTTTGTCGAAAGTTTTTGCCAATTCAAGAAAGAGCACATCTACAAAAAGTTTATGAAACAGCTGTAGCTTTGAAAGTCTATGGTCTCAAGCAGGTTTGTGACGTAAGCTTTTTTATTGACGAAGCCATGTTGACAAAATTTCATTAAAGTAGGACTTAAAAACAGTTGGAGAAAGTCCGTGTTTTGTTCTAAACATGAATTGTAGAACGTGGTGAATACTAAGTTTATAAAAACTTAAGGCACAAAGTTTCCTTAAAATAGGTTAGCAATGAAAAGTTCAGTGTACACTAAATACAATCAAGCATGCATGTTTTTTTTCTTTTTTCTTTGAACACTTATACAAGTACTTTAATTTTTTAATTTGTTCAGATCAATATTGTAGTCTTAGAGGTCCAAACTTAATTCCAATAATTCTTGGAGAGCATTTCATATCAATCTTTGATCCAATAAAAACTTTGTAAATATAACTTTCTTTTTTAAACAGTCATAAGTGGATTTTTCATTTTTGTCTCTAGGATCAAAAATTGTTTTTTTAAAATGATTCACCAGCCTTCATAATTTCAACCTTCATAATTTCCCATACCGCAAAGTCGAACGAGAATTAGATGACGCCCAACGTATTTTCAGTTTGAAAACGCCACTTTTGCATCCTAACATTACTGCTGCCCTATCTCATACTACAGAAGCTAAATAGTTCTTCAAATATTCTTCTGTCATTCCATAAAAATGAAGACATTTAAGTAAAGCATAAAATAATCCCTTAACCGTACGCTTTTAAGTTCCACTAAATCAAAAAAAAATTATTGGTTAATTCATTCCATTGCCTTTTACATAGCACCAAATGTACACAACCAATGTCGATTTTTGACTTATAGTGATTGACTCATCAATTATTAATGAAACCTTACTCTTTGATTTTATGACTTTTGCAATAATTTTTCCCCTTATTTCGTTATCTATATAATCGACAACATTAATTATATGTTATTATAAGTTATTATAATTATAAGTTATGTTGGGAGCTCTTTTAAATTATTTGCCTGGGCGGCAAAATATATTTAGCCAGTCCATCAATGTTGCCCAGTGCGCCTTTTATCGCTGAGCAGCTCCATTTCAACTAGCAATGATTTGAGCTGAAAGTCTTTTGAGATGTAGTGACAAGTTAATGCTCTGTAAGAGTCATTGTTTCTGCTGATCCACATGTAAATAGTAAATGCTACATCTGTTAGAGTAGGAATAATTATGATGTAATTATAACTGATAACTTTTTTTACACTAAGTTCGTGGAGTTTTTGGCTGTGACCTTTGTGTCAATTGATTTAATAAATGTAATAAAACTACGTGAAAATATAAAGGATGTTTGTTTTTAAAGATGTGTATAAAGAGTAGAATTAGCTATGGTAAAGTTCTTACAATGCAATTTTTAAGTCATTTATAAATTTTATAAACAGAAGTGGACCGAGGACTGAACCCTGGGGAACTCTTCTTGTGACTTCCTGCCAATCTGAAACAAACTCACCCAGAACTCGTTGTTTTCTATTACTGAGAAGTGATTTACACCATTGTAAGATATGTGTGAAAACCATAACCATATAGCTTGCAGCATAATTTTGATAAAGAAACGGAATCAAAGGCCTTTGCAAAGTCCAAAAATATCATATCAATATTATTACCAGCAATATTATGGTATGTAACAGAGTAATGCAGAATTAAGTATTAATAAAAAAAAATCAACCCCCCTTTCTTAACGCAAAAATTTGCGTTTCGGAAAGGGCCTTTTTTTTTATAAACTATGCATACGCACGCAGTAGGGGAATTATCAAAAGCCTACAAATGCGTACAAGGGAAGAGGGGGGGGGCTAAGTTTTCAATCAGGCTCTTTTCTATGAGATATCAGTAGTAAATAATAATCCAAGAAGACTTTAAGTAGAGGAATCTTTAAATGAGATTTATTTATTGACCAAAGTTTTATGAGGATATTCGGTCAACTTCGTAACCGAAGTATAAAGAATGTTCGATAACCGTTTAAACTTGATTGGGAAAGTTAAACGAACTTTGCCGGGGCTTAATATGAAAAGGATATAAACTATAGTTTTCTTTAATAAGAGGAGTGATTTATCAAAAAAGGAATTATTTAAAAACAATCTTATATTACTTCTTGATACAATCTCAAAATCTCTAATCGTCAATTAATAGACAATTTGTAAAAAAATGAAATCTCTTAAAACAATTGTAGCATTTTTAACAAAATTAAAGCAAAAACTTTTTTTAAAAAAATCAAACTTATTCATAAGTATCACTAAAAATCGCTTTACAATACAAGCGCTTCTCTGAGAAGCTTAAAATCAATAACAAACTTTTAAATTTGGAATTTAAAAATATTAAAAAACTTCAGCTCGGCAATCTTCAGCAGACTTATGAGATTGAATTATAGGAGGAAGCACAGGACTCGTTTGTTTTGTAAAATCAGCAGAATGCGGACGAGAAGAGACAAAAAGATGAGATTTTTCATCAGTTTTCGAATCCATGCTATGCTATAAAAAAAGTATAATTTTTTTTTTCAATCTTTTAAATTCGCAAGTCTATGTTTATACCATATGACATTGATATAGTCATGTGGAACTCTGCAGTCCTTTTTGTTAAAGCCTTTTTACTTTGAGCAGTAGAAACCCTTACTCAAAAAAAAAAAAAAAAAAAAAAAAAAAAAAAAAAAATCCATATATACAGCAAGAAGCTTAAAAATATTATTTATTTCTGATATACTCATGTTTATCACTAATATACGTTTGATCACGTTGACTCAAAAAAATAAAATAATTAGAACACATTTTTGCTATTTTTTTACGAGTTTTTTAATAATATTAAAGTCGTTCTTATATAATCAAAAAAATTAATCTTTATATATATTAAGTTTTACAATTTTAGAAATTAATTTTTGTACAGAATGTGACCAAAAAAAAAATACATCCTAAAGACATATTGTTGATTAAGTTGAGGCTTATATTCAGCACAAATTTGGGGTTTATTATTTAAATTTCGGATGATGCGTTAATTAACTTTATTAAAAATAGTTCTATAATAGTCACTAGTCTGTATATCAGACACTAGGCTGTATTCCAAGTTTCTCAAACACTTAGGCAGTTCCAAATTGATTTTCATTTAATTAAAGAATAGCACTGTTTACACTCTACAACTTAACTCTCTACAAGGACTTGTTTGTCCGACTTTTTATTCAGATAATACTATTTAGGGACTTATTACAACTTCGTGTTTGCCTATGAATGCTATTCATTTAACAGTCCTTTGTAAATATAGAAATCTTGTAAACAAGAAATCTTTGTATATATATAGCAAACATTCACACTGGTAAATTAATCCTTTGTTTGTGATAAGTTTACTTTTTCTATTACATCGCGATCCTGGTGGAGAAAAAATATGTCACATCTCTTAATTTTTTCATATTATTTTATTATTAAAAAAAATTTGGTGTCCTTTGATTATATTTTTATTTAAGTGACATTAATCACTTGATTATAATTATTTTTTTCGCCTTTTATTTTTACTGTTACTTTTTATTATTTTTTATTTACATTGATTATTTTTTTAGCATCACTTTTTAGTATTTTGTTATACCTAATTATATATAATATAATATTTATGTAATCAAAGCAGAAATGTAAAATTGTGTCAAACAACTTCTATATTTCTAAGCTGATTCTGCTAGTTTAATCAAGAGGCTGGTTCTGCTGGTTTAATCAAGAAGCTGGTTCTGCTGGTTCAATCAAGAAGCTGGTTCTGCTGGTTCAATCAAGAAGCTGGTTCTGCTGGTTCAATCAAGAAGCTGGTTCTGCTGGTTCAATCAAGAAGCTGGTTCTGCTCGTTCAATCAAGAAGCTGGTTCTGAATTAGTTTTCGTTGATAAGTTTAAGTATTTAAGTACATTATTCGAAAAAAATTTATTACTATTTGTAGTAAAAAATGTTATTATTAATTAATAACGAATGTTTATTTATTAAACAAATATTACTATTCGTTAAATGAATAAAAAGGAAATAGTACTATTCGTTTAACGAATAGTTTTATTCGTTTAACGAATAATACTAACTGTTAAGCAAATAGCACTACTCGTTTAATGCATTCTTTTAACGAATAATACTATTCACTTAACGAGCAGTACTTTCTTAAAGAAATAGCGAAAATTCTTTCTTAAAGAATACTATTCGCTTAACGAATAATATTATTAGCCTAAAGAATGTTTCAAAACATTTCATTCAAAAGAATAGGTTTACATTTTACTTTTCTTATCTGTTTTTTTTTTAATTTATATTTAAATCTCCTGAGGTTTTTAAAGTACAAGTATGTTTAGTTCTAAAAATCAACCGTTAAGCTAAAACAAAAGTATTTATATGAACTAACACTTTCCAGTTCAAATATTTTGTAGTAGTTAAGTAGCATAGTTGGTAACCTCTTGACATCAATTTGCTACAAGTATTCTCGTAGTCAGAAAATGTAAAACAAGCGCATACTATAAGTATACTCAAGGTTGACAAACAAATGAGGCCTGGTTTGGTTGTTACAAAAAATTGGCAGTGAAAAGGTTAAGTTAATCTAATAAAATATACCTTTGAGTGAGAGGAAATAGCTGAATGCGACACATGTTGAGGGGGGCTTCCTTGTTTACGACTGTTATGTATAGCTGATTTTTTTGGATACTAAGATGGAAATGTAATCTATATATATATACATAAAATATAAACATATACTACCATAAAAAAATCAAATCCAAACAGGTTGTTTAAAAAATTAACTGTAAACAGGATGGCCAGCCAATAACTAATTCAAATTTCGAGGTATCTAATGAAAATTTTAAGTTTTTTAGGGATTCATTTTTTCTTGACAAAAAAAAAAACAAAATGTGTTGACTTATGAAAAATATAAAAATAAAAAATAACTAAATTAGTTGATGTTAATAATGCAGGCAGTAACACTGAACAAAATTTGCATTACATTAAATACATAATTATTAGACTAAGTATATCTACTCAAAATTAATAATAACTTAATAATATAAAAAAATAAAATAAAAAAATCGAACTATTTCAAAAAAGTTCCAGGATTTTCATGAATTATTGCTAAAAGGGGTGTATTTCCAGGACTTTTCCAGGCCCTATCAAAATCCAGGACTTTTCCAGGTTTCCAAACACCCTGGTAAAAATTAAAGTATTAAAGCTAAATAACCTGCTGATATTTTCCTCTGTAAATATGGCCATCTGTACCAACAACACAATCCCCAAATGAGAACTCCTTGGCTTCAAATGCTAAATCTTTTTGTAGTACATCTATAAAAAACAAAAGTAATTATTTATCAACATATGAATAGTTAATAAATTATAACAATTCATCACTTTCTATCTGAGACCAAAATATGAACCAGAATAAAGATGTCAGAAACTCTTAAATAAAATTCTTATCTTGAACATAATAAATACAATAACCAAACTTGAAAGCTTTGTAATATAGTTTATAAATTACTAATATAAATTTAAAGAAAATAAAATTGCAAATTTGAATAATTTTACTTTCATAAAATATTGTTAAACATTTATATTATAAGTTTAAACAAATAAATTTAACCATCTACAGGCAACCCCTTTTGAGAACGGTACAATAAATTATTAATAGCTGTGTGTTGACCACCACATGGGCGATCAGACAATGTTGGATTTGTACCAAACTTTTGTTGTCGAAGCTAAAAAAAATTAAAATCATTATGGAATAATTCTTCAAAATTTTTTTTTCAGTAAATGAAAAAGAAAAATAATAACTTGATCAAGTTCATATGAAGTATATGGAGCCATGGTTTTTTTAGAAGGAAATTTCTGTGGTACAGTAGGCATAAAACCTGATGTTAAAACATCAACTGTTCGATTACAAGAAATGCAAGAATAAGATCCAAGAGGTTTGCGCAATCCAGCTGCGTTTGTTTTATCCAGTCTTGCATCTTCCAACAAAGAATAACACTTTTTTTGAATATCTTTTAAACGTTCCTCTAACAAAAGCAAATTTATTTGAAATTAGCTAATCAAAATTTTGCTGATAACAAGTTAGTAACCATTGTAACCTTGGTAGTAAAGAAATTACCAAACACAAAAAAAGGACGTATAAATGACCTTTTTATAATTGTTTTTGCTAATAAAGTATTTGCTATAATGAGTATTTATGTAACTAAATACATATGCATGCACATGCACATAGATCTATATACAACTAAATTATAATAAAAATATAATTTGCATGGGTTTAGTCATAATGAACAAGAAATTTACAAATTCTATAAAATAGATTTTTACTTACAAAGCAATTTCCGAAGATTTTTTTTTCCATAATAAATTGAAAACTGAAATTTTTGAAACTGAAAACTACATTTTGAGAGTCTCAAAATGGTGAAAAATAAATTTCACCATTTTGAGACTCTCATATGTATGTATGACTGACATACACACAAACTTAATAGATTTACCAATATATATATATATATATATATATATATATATATATA